GCGGTAAATATTGCAGCTGCGGTTGGCAAGCCCGGTACGGCCGCCGTTCGGCATAATGAGGTACTGCAGACCGGTACTAGCCGGAAGACCTCACTGTTGTTGTTGTTGTTGTTGTTGTTGCTGTTGTGACAGGTCGGGGAAGACTGGGCCAGGCAGCCGACTGCATAATGGCAACACAGGCGGAAACGCATTCAGTGATTTCTCTGACCGTTCTGACGGTCCACTTTGAGCAACTCTCTGCCTGCCTGCTTGCCTCTGTGTGTGTGTGTGTGAGAGAGAGAGAGAGAGAGAGAGAGAGAGAGAGAGAGAGAGAGAGAGAGAGTGTCCGATTCGCCTGCCCGTGAGCCCAGCCTTCACACACACACACACACACACACACAAGTGCGCGATCACACACGGGCATACACGCCATCACACACACACGAGCACGCACACACGCACGCACACGCTGCATGCCGAACAGCCGAGACAGCAGTGCGATTGTCCGTGCCGCTGACGGCGGCCTTCCTTCCTCGTCCCTCTCTCTCTTCATTTTCGGGCTGTCTCTTTGAGGGCGGTACTCGGGCCTGGCTGGCTGCCTGGCTGGCTGCCTGGCTGGCTGGCCGCCTGGCTGCCTGCCTGGCTTTGACAGGGACTGAGAATTTGGGCATCTGCCTGTTTCTTCACCGCATTGGCCGTGGCCAGGTAAGGGCCTTGATATGACACCCGGTGCGGCAACAATCAAGTCACGCAACAACAACAACCACAGCCAAAACCAAAACAACGACGACGACGACGTCGTCGGCAATGCGCAAAAAGTGGCTTCGTGGCAAAACTTACAGGAGATGGCGCCTATTCTTGACCTGCCGACTGAATTCCTTCTACTTGTATCACACACCTTCGGAGAGAGAGAGAGAGAGAGAGAGAGAGAGAGAGAGAGAGAGAGAGAGAGAGAGAGAGAGAGAGAGAGAGAGAGAGAGAGAGGCTCTGACTCTGTCTGTGCCGCAGGCATGGTGTGCTCCATCCCGGACTACTTGTGCGAGTGCGGCGTGGGGCTGCAGTACTCGCGACTGCGCGCGCGCTGCGAGGTGGACCCGCTGCAGAACCGCGACCCCTGGACGCTGGACCTGCCGCCCATCGCGGACATGGACGCCGAGGTGGTGGAGACCATCCCGGCCACCTACGACTGCCCGCTGCTGGTGGGCATGATCTCCGTGGTGCTGGTGCTCATCTGCCTGGTGGTGGCGGCGTACTGCCGCTTCACGGACCCGCCGCCCAAGCCGCCCGGGTACCGGCCCGCGCGCACCGAGCGCGAGGAGGGCGACCCCTTCGAGTGGGGGTGAGTACTTCTAGCGTGGGCGTCGCAGTGGGCCAGAAGACCGGTGCAGGCGGCCAAAATTCTAGACGCGTTTTGAGCTGCAGAGTCGCTAAACAGGACTAGTACCGAACGTGTGACCCCACCAATGGATTGCTCTCCGAACGGTGAATCCATTGGTTGGGTCACACGTTCGGTTCGAGTCCTGTTTAGCGACTCTAGAGCTCAAAACGCGTCTAGAGTTTCGGCCGCCCCGACCGGTCTTCTGGCTCTGTGCGCGTCGGACTCGGCGTGAGGCATGACGGCAATGCCTGTTGCAGCGAGACGTCCCCGCTGCGCTCCTCGTGGGGCGGCGACAGCGACCTGTCCTCGCTGCGGCGCGTCAAGCAGTGCTCGTGCGAGTTGGCGCAGCAGGCCGCCGCGCACACCGCCGCCCAGCTGCAGCAGCCCGCCGCCAACGCGGGCCTCGCCTTCCCCGCCGCCTCCAGGTCGCCGCGCAGCCCCCGCGCCGTGCCGCCGCCCAGGGTGCCGCCGTCCAGGACGCCCTTCCGGTCGCCGGACTCGCCCGAGTTCCCCGACTTCCTGCGCCACCACGGCGCCCTCGACCCGCTGGGCATCGGCATGGCGGGCATGGCGGGCATGGCGTCCTCGTCGGGGCCGTCCGGACTGCACCGCGCCAGCCAGGTCACGCTGCACCTGCCGCCAGTGCCGGCACTGCGCGGCAACGTGCGCCTCTACCTGCAGCAGCTTCCTGCCACGGGGACAGTCAGGTGAAGATGTGTCTTGGTTCAGGAGTCTCAGAGACACGGTTACAGTGCGTTGAAGATGTGTCTTGGTTCAGGAGTCTCAGAGACACGGTTACAGTGCGGTGAAGATGTGTCTTGGTTCAGGAGTCTCAGAGACACGGTTACAGTGCGGTGAAGATGTGTCTTGGTTCAGGAGTCTCACAGACACGGTTACAGTCTGGTGAAGAAGTGTCTTGGTTCAGGAGTCTCAGAGACACGGTTACAGTCTGGTGAAGATGTGTCTTGGTTCAGGAGTCTCAGAGACACGGTTACAGTGCGTTGAAGATGTGTCTTGGTTCAGGAGTCTCAGAGACACGGTTACAGTGCGGTGAAAATGTGTCTTGGTTCAGGAGTCTCAGAGACACGGTTACAGTCTGGTGAAGAAGTGTCTTGGTTCAGGAGTCTCAGAGACACGGTTACAGTGTGGTGAAGATGTGTCTTGGTTCAGGAGTCTCAGAGACACGGTTACAGTGTGGTGAAAATGTGTCTTGGTTCAGGAGTCTCAGAGACACGGTTACAGTGCGGTGAAAATGTGTCTTGGTTCAGGAGTCTCAGAGACACGGTTACAGTCTGGTGAAGATGTGTCTTGGTTCAGGAGTCTCAGAGACACGGTTACAGTGCGGTGAAAATGTGTCTTGGTTCAGGAGTCTCAGAGACACGGTTACAGTGCGGTGAAAATGTGTCTTGGTTCAGGAGTCTCAGAGACACGGTTACAGTCTGGTGAAGAAGTGTCTTGGTTCAGGAGTCTCAGAGACACGAGTACAGTCAGGTGAAGTAGCGTCTTGATTCAGGGGTCTCAGAGACACGGGTCCAATCTGGTGAAGAAGTGTGTTTTGGTTCCCTTGGTTCTGGGGTCTGAGAAAGTGTCTTAGTTTAGGGGTCTCAGGGTCTCCCACGTCGTGGTCCGGCCAGAGAGACAGATGCCGCTACACTTTAAATGTCTTAAGATGAAACCAACACCAACATATTATGGTGAAGATTCATAACACAGGAACCATATGAAATGCGACAAAATATCTTATGATACATTTTCAGAGGGAAGTCACCAAGTAAGTTACAGAATTTTCACCATAATATGGAGAATCCTCACCATACGAGGTTTGGAATGCGTGCGGCCCGCGCGCCGTATGCTCTCTGAGACTCCTGTCTTAGTTTGTTTCTCCTTTCTTCCATTTGCTATATCGTTTAGCCGGGGGCCACTCGAATGTAGGTGATCATTCAATGACGTCATATCAAAAGCTAGTTAGGAATTTCTCTCTAGGAGCATCCGAACATGGCTGCATAGGAATGTAAACATTTGCTCACAACGGAACCAATGTCGTTGATCGTTTTTATACTTTTAAAAAATTCGCCTCTAGTTTTAATAAGTGAGATATTGCTGGCCGGAAAGGAGACTTGTAAAAAATCGTGATGAATCACATTTCATAGCAGCCTCTCGCTTTAATGCTTATTCGACGTTTTTATGAATGGGGATTTGGCTGATGATGTATGAACACGGGAATAACCAATGTAATGAGGGCAGAGCGACGGAGCTGCGGCATTTGTTACGTTTCCTCTTGGTCTACAGTAGACGCACGTTTATGACATTTGTAAACAAAAGCTAATTTCGTTCTCTGTGATAATTTAGAGTTACTTCCACTGTTGTTGAACTATAAATACTTATTATATTATAATGCTTGGCGTAGTGAACATTTCATTTATTTTCTTTTTTATGAAGACACAATAAACTGTGATAACTGGTTGGAAGAGAGTCATTTTTTAATGAAAAAGAACTCTGTGCTAGACATGACTTTTATTTCACGCCAGCGCGCTGCAGAGGAACATATATACACCTAATTTAATAGACGTCTACATGCGAATAAATTAGGCAGTTCTTTCCAAAAAAAAAATCAGTACATCCTTAAATTAAAACAGTACAAAACCAGGAAAATGTAAAGGTGACTTGTTAGTAACACCCTATTTAATATCATGACACGCTGAAGATTAGCCAGCCGACAATCTAAAACTTAAAATTAATTGTTGAAATACATTTTGAGCATACAAGTTCGACTACTTCTGTTTATATTCAGAGCGTTGAGAATGTATTAGTACGAAAGACATTATAAGAAAAACTACTGAATGAAAATTCAACTGGCCTGCGTCATAACCGACCGACAGAACTGTGGAGCTCGCCGTTTGGAATTCGGATCTTTCTTGTACAGTGCTGCACACATTACACGCAAGTAACCATTCAAGTGACCACGTCCCTTACGAGATGACTACATCGATTTTTCAAAATTCCGAAATACGCGGCGTTAGCGAGGACGTTTTCGCTTCTGCCCCGTTCGAGGGAACGCTGCACCGTCCAGCGGTGCAAAGAACGCTCTACTTGCCTTCGAAGAGCGACTCGCAATGACTAGGAAAGGCGGTGGCATGTGACTAAATGATCTTGTTGGACTATACTGGCGAAAAACAAAATCATAATCAACAAATCGAGGGGTCCTATTCAAAAGATCTTATCTGGGCGTTCCCCCCAAGACAATCTTATCTTAAACGCAGGTGAATTTCACATAGTTTGATCGCTTGGTACAGCTACCTATCAACATAATTTGTGAATTTGTTCAAGTAAATCTTAAGATGGAAGATCATAGAAACCAAAAGTGCATGTAGAAATTTGTTTCGCTTATCGTCGTATTTATTCTGATTGATCAAAATGAGTGAAATTTGCCGGCGTTTCAGATAAGATTGTCTTGGGGAACGTCCAGATAAGATCTTTTGAATAGGACCCCTCGAAATATGCTTGGCCAACGCAATGTGCGAAAAAACCACAGTGAATCCCGTTAATTTTTTTTTCCGGGATCTACTGTAGTTCAAAACACAGGATTTACTGTGCCTGGCTACAGTATTTACTGTATCTGGTACAGGATATTCCGTACTCCACTCCTGTGGTACAGTAAATCCCTCACAAAGTACAGTAGATCCTGTAAACAAGTACTGTAAATCCTGTACTCTGAACTACAGTGACAGCTGTACTTATTACTACAGGATTTACTGTGATTTTTTCCAGAGTGCAGTCTGAGTGTTATGATTGACCACAATCCACCGAATCCACTAAATTTGCTTACTCGATAGCATTTTTCAACCATTTTAAAATACAGCCAGCCACAAGCATGTCGTTGGGAGCACTTTAGCCAAAGTCACACAGGACGCCATTTGGTCCCTTTTCTGACGCTGATTTAATTCGTCCAAGAACTTTTGGACTAAAGAAAACAAACAAACAAGAAAGCAACCCCATTCTTCCACTTTTGAATGTGAGTTAATTTATCTGTACATCTTACATAAGCGATAATATAAACTAGGAAGTTTAATAAACTATCCAGATCATTTCCATACTTTGCACGATTGGCTGGCCAAACCCCAAGCAGAGCTTTGTCTGTGGTCTGTCGTGGGCGCGTCTCACAGGGAACGCCCCACTCAGGACAAAGCCAGTGTCCATCATTTCACTACATTTCTTTGGTTACCTAGCCGAGAAGCGAGCACAGCTCGACCACAACGAAAATAAGTTAAGTACACTTCACACAATCACATTAGTCGATACTTTTAAACTTTTGCCCTAAAAACGAAATACTTCTCCGGATTCACTCTAGTCTAAATGAGACGGGATTTTGAGCCAGCTGCGTCTGAAGGAACAAATAAACACCTTTGTGCCACATCGAGACATTTGGCGGTAAGGTGTAACTACTCTAATGTGATATAGTGAATCCAGGTTGCACGTTATTTGGAAATGAAACACCAATAGCCACGTGCCCCTGGGTTCACATAAGTCTGAGCAGGGAGCTCCAACAGGTAAGTTTCAGTCTCCTTCAGTTAGGTGATTTGGGACAGTTTAAAACAAAATTGAGCGGAGAGTTTGCGCTTGATACCACAAACAGTACACCAAGAATAACTTGACACGTCAGTCAAAACCATAAATTTAAATACCTGCTCCAGCTACGCTATTCTACCGAAATCTGAAATAACGAGTAAAACTTAGTTTAGTTGTGCCAATCAAACGACTCATTGTGCTTCAGACTTGTAAGAATCAGAAAGTTCAAAAACCGACTTTACCATAGAGAATTAAAATAATTGAGTAATTGTAAATATCACCGATTTGTCAAGTTCAGCGGATTCTCTGACTCCGCTCTCGACTACACATACAGCCACTGAACTTGACTTAAAAGAGGCCACCAGGAGGATGCCCAAAAAGACAATTCAAAAAGTCTAAAAACATTCTACGATAAACGCCGTTCATACTGTTAAGGCCAAAATTAGAAAATACACTACGACTTAAACAACGCTAAGTTAGTGCCTCATTGACAACCGTGACACATTTTGTTTATCTCGAGACGTTAGGCCATTGCATCTCGCGGAACTACTTGCTGTCGTTTCTTAGGAAACTGCTTGCTGTCGTTCCTCGGGGACCTACTGGACGTCGTTCCTCGGGAAACTGCTTGCTGTCGTTCCTCGGGGACCTACTGGACGTCGTTCCTCGGGAAACTGCTTGCTGTCGTTCCTCGGGGACCTACTGGACGTCGTTCCTCGGGAAACTGCTTGCTGTCGTTCCTCGGGGACCTACTGGACGTCGTTCCTCGGGAAACTGCTTGCTGTCGTTCCTCGGGGACCTACTGGACGTCGTTCCTCGGGAAACTGCTTGCTGTCGTTCCTCGGGGACCTACTGGACGTCGTTCCTCGGGAAACTGCTTGCTGTCGTTCCTCGGGGACCTACTGGACGTCGTTCCTCGGGAAACTGCTTGCTGTCGTTCCTCGGGGACCTACTGGACGTCGTTCCTCGGGAAACTGCTTGCTGTCGTTCCTCGGGGACCTACTGGACGTCGTTCCTCGGGAAACTGCTTGCTGTCGTTCCTCGGGGACCTACTGGACGTCGTTCCTCGGGAAACTGCTTGCTGTCGTTCCTCGGGGACCTACTGGACGTCGTTCCTCGGGAAACTGCTTGCTGTCGTTCCTCGGGGACCTACTGGACGTCGTTCCTCGGGAAACTGCTTGCTGTCGTTCCTCGGGGACCTACTGGACGTCGTTCCTCGGGAAACTGCTTGCTGTCGTTCCTCGGGGACCTACTGGACGTCGTTCCTCGGGAAACTGCTTGCTGTCGTTCCTCGGGGACCTACTGGACGTCGTTCCTCGGGAAACTGCTTGCTGTCGTTCCTCGGGGACCTACTGGACGTCGTTCCTCGGGAAACTGCTTGCTGTCGTTCCTCGGGGACCTACTGGACGTCGTTCCTCGGGAAACTGCTTGCTGTCGTTCCTCGGGGACCTACTGGACGTCGTTCCTCGGGAAACTGCTTGCTGTCGTTCCTTGGGGACCTACTGGACGTCGTTCCTCGGGAAACTGCTTGCTGTCGTTCCTCGGGGACCTACTGGACGTCGTTCCTCGGGAAACTGCTTGCTGTCGTTCCTCGGGGACCTACTGGACGTCGTTCCTCGGGAAACTGCTTGCTGTCGTTCCTCGGGGACCTACTGGACGTCGTTCCTCGGGAAACTGCTTCGTTCCTCGGGAACCTACTGGACGTCGTTCCTCGGGAAACTGCTAGCTGTCATTCCTCAGGGAACTACAGAACGTCGTTCCCGGCAGTGGTCAAGCAGTGTTCAGGCAGGCTAGAAGGACCGCCTCAAGTCCGAATGGGCAGGTCTTTGATTACCGCCCTAGCCCTTTCAAGGGGTGGAGGGGGAGGGACGATTCAGGGCACTCAGAACTTGGTGGAGCGGTAGAGCGTGTCACCGGGAGATAGCTCGTTGACGCCCACAGGACCACCGTTTATGGTGGCCACCACGCCAGACCCGTTGACGGGCCCGTTGGGCCCGTTGAGGGGCCCGTTGAGGGGGCCGTTGGTGGGGCCGTTGGCGGGGCCGTTGAGGGGGCCGTTGACTGGGCCGTTGACGGGGCCGTTGACTGGGACCCCCTTTTGCGGCATGCTTCCCGGTGCCCCCATCGGCATCGGAGCTCCCATGAGGGGGCCCATCGGGGCTCCCATCGGCGGCCCCATGGGGGGCCCCATGGGAGTTCCCATGGGAGGGCCCATCGGAGCGCCCATAGGAGGACCCATCGGACCGCCCATCGGACCACCCATCGGGGCTCCCATTGGGGGTCCCATCGGGGGTCCCATAGGGGTACCCATTGGAGCACCCTGCGGGCCTTGTGGGCCGGGTGGACCTTGTGGGCCGGCCATGGCGCTCGGCACAGGGGCCGGGATGTTGGGCGGCGGGGGCAGGTTCTGCTGCTGCATGTGCTGCTGGTGGTACTGTGGGTGCTGTTGCTGCTGTTGCTGCTGTTGTTGCTGCTGCTGTTGTTGCTGCTGCGGGGGTGCCGGGCAGAAGGTGCTGCTCGTGCTGTGCGTCATGCCGTAGCCCCCTGTGTTGAGCGGCACGGTGTTGGGCGGGGGGTGCCTCACTGTGGAGAGAAGAGGGATTTTAGTGGACAGTCCGGGCTGTGAGTAGCAACCTCTAACTTGAATTCCAACTCGGTAAGACAAACTGGCGTACAGGTGTGCGTCTGGAATCCGCGGTGCGGCGAGTCCACGGGGCTGCGCATCGTGGGGCTGGTGGGGCCCTGGGGGCAGTGGGGGCCCGGCCCCAGGCCCCCCAGCGTCGAGGGCGGCCGGACCACGGGGACGGGCACCGGGACGGAGGTGGGGGCGGCGCGGGGCACCCTGGACAGCGTGGCGGTGGGGTGCGGCCCGAAGGAGCCGTGCTGGCCTTGCGGGAACGTGGTGATGGGGCTGCCGACATCCACAAGGGCGTCATCATCACCATCTCCGTCGCCAAGACAAGCTCCCAGGCAAAATCAAGTCAAAATGCCGTCAAATGATGTTATTTTGACATTAAAATAGACCAAATCTCGACACTTTTGTCATTAAAATAGACCAAATCTCGACACTTTTGTCATTAAAATAGACCAAATCTCGACACTTTTGTCATTAAAATAGACCAAATCTCGACACTTTTGTCATTAAAATAAACCAAGTTTTGTCATTAAAATAAACCAGATATTAGCATTAAAATGGACCACGACATCAAAAATTTTGACAAAATTCGCCCGTGATGAGTTCACATTGACGTCATTTCGACTTTTTTCGTTCTCCCCGGGCAACAGAAGGCTGGCTGACCTGCGCGCGCCCTGGTTGTTCTGGTTCTGCATGCCGTGCGACCGCGGCAGCGTGAAGTGCTGGCGGGCCTGCGGCGGGCTGTCCCCGGGGTACAGATGCGCGGCCGGCGCCTGCTGCTGGTGCTGCTGGTGGTGGTGGCGCTGGTGGGGCAGCGTGTGGTGGGACTTGCCCGCGTCGTACGGCGGCGGCGGGTCGTGGGAGCCTGCAGGGTCGTTAGAAGCGATGAGCAAACAGACAGGCATGTCGGCCAACTGTCGGTATGAGTGGGCGACGACCTATGGCGGCCACTGTCAAACCAAAAGTGGAGAACGCCACTCTTCCTGATGCGGAGTGATTCTGCACACTTGGACGTGGACGTGTGGAGTTTGCAGTCTCCAGGTGGGGTCGGTCAAATCCCCGGACGCGTTTTGAGCTCCAGAATCGCTAAATGGGACTTAAACCGAACGTGTGACCCCACCAATGGATTGCTCTCCGAACGAGGAATCCACTGATGGGGTCACACGCTCGGTTCAAGTCCCGTTTAGCGACTCTGGAGCTCAAAACGCGTCTGGAGTTTTGGCCAGCGTCATGATGCCGGTGAGCGCGCCCGTACCGCCGTTCCGCTGCAGGGTGCGCGCGCCGCTCGCGCTGAAGGTGTTGCCCCTGCCCATGGTGCCCGTGCGGCTGGCCACGGCGCCGGGCTCCAGCTCCACCATGATCTGCGAGGCCGCGGTGTCGATGGGCGTGGTGGCCAGGCTGTTCTGGTTCGAGAACGAGTACATGTTGGCCACGCCGCTGGCCGTGGACGACGTCTGCATGCGGTACACGGGGCCTGCCGGACAAACGGACAAAACGTTCCAAAAGTGTGCACTGTGAGAAAAAAGTACGGAAAAAGTACGGAACATGTCTGGTCAATAATTTGCCTGCAGCGTCCGCACTTGCCAAGTACGGAACGTTCCGTACTCTTTTTCCGTCCTCTGGCCCACTGTGTGACTGTGCGGCGTGCCGCAGGGGTGCGACAGAGACGTGTAGCGACGAATCTCTGTTCGGAATCGGCCTGGCCCACTGGGAGGCCGGCCAACTCGGGCTGTGAGCGTGCAGGGCCTGCAGGGCCGACCTTCCTCCAGTGACCTTCGCGAGGGCGCCCTTGACACCGCGTGTGGGTGCCTGTCTGTGTGTGTGTCGACACCACTGTCGCGGTTCCAGGTTCCACCGCGCTAGACAGACGGGCCCAACGCCAACGCCACGCGCGGCGCCGCGGGGCTACCCCGCGTCGCGGAGACCCCATGCGCGACAGGGCGGCTATACCCCGCGCGACGGCGCAGAGGGCGTAGCACGCGTAGCAAGTACGCCGTTCGTGGCCGGCGCCGGCGCCGTCCTCTTTTGGAGCCAAAACTCTCTCTCCCTCCCCCCCCCCCTCTCTCTCTCTCTCTCTCTCTCTCTCTCTCTCCCTCCCTCCCTCCCTCCCCACATGCACACGCACACACGGGGACACCGGGCGGCACGAGTGCTCTTTCCGATCGCCTGCGATGCTGCCGGCATAAATGGAGGCCCGCGGGCGGCGCCGCGCCATGGACCGAGAGTGCTCCGTCCCTCTCGCACCCATGGGCCGTCCCGTTGGGTGCGAGAGAGAAAGGCACGCTTTTGGGAACCAAGCAACCGCCGGCCATGGCGGGGCATGCCAAGCGCGGCCTCGAATACGAACCGCAATGGAACCGCGCGTCGCGATGCACGCGATGCACCTCCTATTCACATCGGGATTGGCTCAGCCGACAATGCGCAGTGGGCCAGAAGACCGGCGCTGGCGGCCGAGACTATTTAGACGCGTTTAAAGCTCCAGGGTCGCTGTACAGGACTCGAACCGAACATGTGACCCCATCAATGGATTCCTCGTTCGGAGAGCAATCCATTGGTGGGGTCACACGTTCGATTCGAGTCCCATTTAGCGAATCTAGAGCTCAAAACGCGCCTAGAGTTTTGGCCGCTTCCATCGGTCTCCTGGCCTACTGTACACTGTGAGTTCGACAGAGACGACCGCCGCCTCCTCACCATTGTTGGTGTGCTTGGGCGAGTTCCTGGACTTGTAGAGCGCGCAGCACGAGCAGCAGCAGCACGACACCAGGATGATGATGGCCAGGGCCGCCGTGGCGCCCAGCGCGGCGCCCAGGATCAGCGGCAAGCTGCAACAGGCGCGGGTTCAACACCAGGCGACGGCGCTTCTTTTTGCTGATGCTACACCGCAAACCGCGCGCATCAGACTGTTTCCGAGACTCGTTTTCGTCGCTCTGTCTCTCTCGCACCCACACGGAACGCCCCATGAGTGCGAGAGAGAGAGTGCCACTTACTTGCCGAGCTCCTCGTCGGCGGCGTGCTCCCTCTGGGTGCAGCAGTACTTGTAGGTGGTGCCGCCGCAGCAGAAGAGCGCGTCGCTGGCGTCCTCTCGCGGCGGGCAGTAGAAGCCCGGATTCCAGCGGCCCAGGGCGTCGCTGTAGCCCGAGCAGAACTCGCTGCCCAGCACTGGAACACATCACACTGTCGTCAAGCAGAGACTCATTCTGAGAGCCGTTTTCGTCCATTGGTGGGGTCACAAGTTCGGTTCAGGTCCCATTTAACGACTCTGGTGCTCAAAAAACGCGTCCGGGGTTTTGACCGCCTCCCGGTCTTCTGGCCCACTGTGCGACGGTCCAGGGCCGGCGTCCTGGCCGCGAACACGGGATGCTGAATGCTTGCCGCGGCCGTGCAGGCCGTCGTTGCGGCGCACTGCACACCGCTCTCGTCGCTCTGTCTCTCTCGCACTCACGGGGCCGCCCGTGAGGGTGCGAGGGAGACAGCGACAAAAGCAGTGCTCAGCGTGCAGGGCGACGCACGGCGTAACGCGGCCCTTGCGTCGTTACGGGCCCTGCCCTGCCCTGCCGCACAACAACAAGGCGACAAAGGCAGTAAAGTGCGGTGCATGCTGCATGGCGGACGAACGGCGGGACAAGCGCGCTCGGCTGCACGGCACGCCACGGCACGCCACGGCACGCCACGGCAAGGCGCGGCTAGCGTATGAGTCGTGGTGGTTGATGGTCGTTAATATCGCGACGCAAGGCGAAGTGACGCCAAGGCTTGGCCGAGGCGTCGCGGCCCTGAGGAGGTCCTGCAGACTGATTCTCCTCTCTCTCTCTCTCTCTCTCTCTCTCTCTCTCTCTCTCTCTCTCTCTCTCCCCTCTCTCTCTCTCTCTCTCTCTCTCTCTCTCTCTCTCTCTCTCTCTCTCTCTCTCTCTCTCTCTCTCTCTCTCTCTCTCTCTCCCTCTCTCTCTCTCTCGCCAACGCGTCGATCCGGAGTCCGGAGGGGTGCGAGAGAGACAGTCGTTCCCGCGGTTTTCGCCCGCGCCCCAATAAAAGCCGCCACTCGAAAACCGCGGGCCGCGCCGCACTAAAAAAACCAAACCGGCGCGGAGTAAACCTTTCAATGCCCTCTTCAGATTACGGACTGAAATAGAGCGCGGCGAGGGAAGGCCGTGGCCGTCGGGGGAGAGGGAGAGAGAGAGAGAGGGAGACGGGGACGAAGGAGGAGAGCAAGAAGGACAGGAAGAAGTGGAGGAAGTGGGGCGGGGTCCGATGACACCGGGCGCAGTTACTTGTTGAGGGTGACTTGTGCGATCAGATGAGGATCCACATCGGGTGGGAAGGCGTGCTCCATTGCTGGGGAAGGACGGAAGGACCAGGAAGGACCCAACACGAAATACAACGCGGGTGGGACTGTTGGTCCGACCATCTTTCACCGAGTCGCTCGGATAATCGGTCGCACCAACTAAACGAAATCCTTCCCCCCTTCTTTTGGAGGACGCTCGGATGACTTACCCTCATGGTCCTCGTTGAGAGGCATCTCCACCGACATGGCGGCGGTCGGGGCGGCGTGGCGCGGCGTGGCGGGGCGGGGTGGGGCGCGGCGTTCCTAAGGTGGCGTCGTGGTGGCGCCGAGGGGCTCCTGGAGAGCGGCGGGGCGGGGCGGGGCGGGGCGGGGCGGGGCGGGGTGCACCGCGTCGGGGGTTCCGCGCCGAGTCCTACGGCGGGGCGCCCCTCACTTCCCGACCCGCTGCCGTCGGCCCGGCCTGCGGAGACTGCAGCGGCATCGCCCTGTCAGGCCGGTCACGCCGGCCAGGCGCCTCGGTCTGCAACAAACAGGAATCGAAATGAGCAACGTCACACCACGCCCCCTGAGTGCGACAGAGACAGAGCAACCAAAACAAATCTGGCAGCCGCCACATGGCCGACGCTTTGACACTCCGCAGGGCCTCTTGCCGCCCATGCCGGCCTGAACCTTCGCTGCCATTTTCTTTCTCGCCGTTTGTGTTTTTAAAAAGGACAGCACCTGGAGGACAGTTGCCAGGCCCCTGCGGCAAACACGATGTGCAAGGGCGAGAGCAAGTGACGGTGGCATCACGAATTCTGAACCAAAAGAGGCCAAACAAAGGAAGACCTCCCGCAGCGCGCTCTTATCCCAGCGCTGCGCGTCCCCGCATGCTTTCCTTTTCCCTTTTGCCTTTTTCCTCGTCTCACAGTGGGCCAGAAGACCGGTGGAGGCGGCCAAAACTCCAGACGCGTTTTGAGCTCCAGAGTCGCTAAATTTAGTGTCTCCGACACCTGTCATTTCCCCGCCATGACGCGCTCGTTATCATCACGTCGTGGAAATTTAAAAGGCACAATTTGGAGGAAAAACTAATAAAAACAAAACCATGCCGTTGTGACGGCGCGTTGACCCGGCGCGTTCTCGGTAAGATGAGGCCACCCCCTGCCACCCCTTCCCCCACCCCCCATCCCCTTCCCCTGGGCGAGGTCATTAATTCACGCTGCGTGACAACTTTCACAATGGAGTGGGAATCTCTGTTACTTCTTCAAGCTGTCCCTGCTGCCCCTCGGCCCTCGGCTCGCCCTGCTCCCTTTCTTAATTAGATCGCAAGCAGCGGCGGCACCGCCACTCCCGGAAAATACATCTCGTTTGGCGGAGCAGCGAAGCAGCAAGGGCAGTCGCTCTGTCTCTCTCGCGATCATAGGGCGTCCCTTACAGGTGCGAGGGAGACAGAGCGACGAAAACGACTCTCGGAATCAGTCTGCAGAGCCCACGGCTAGCCCACGGCAGCCAGCTCGGCAGCAACCGGCGCATGTTTTGCGTCCGGCGAAACACTGGCAAGATGCTGGGGGCTGGCAAGCTCCGGGGCGGAAATGATTTCCCCGCCCGGGGACCCCCTTTGGGGGCCGGCGGGGGGGGGGGGGGGGG